GGGATATATCGTATCGTGACCCCTCTGTGATGATATGTATCGTATCACCAAATTCTTACCAATACACAGCCTTAGTGGCTGATACATAAAAAAATGCAGCAAACATGTCAATATGTTCCACACAAGATGATCACCTCAGAAGGTTTTAGGATAGTCTAGCTTCTTTAAAACATATGTAAAAAAAAAAAAGGGGGGGGGGTAGCTAGCTTAAGACTTTTGCACAACCCAAAGAAGCTTAAGACTTTTGCACAACCCAAAGAAGCATGTCTGTTTCTCAGATAAGCATCTAGACAAACTACTGCACAGATGTTGTTTGATTAAAAACCAGTATATCTGCAGCAGAGAGCTGTTCAGTCACATTTCCCAGCTTCGTTTTGCTGTTACCTGGCAGAAAATCCCTCCCACGCTTTATCTGACATCAGCTGCACCCCCTCTTTGTGTACAGCGACACGTTTTTGAAATACCAGCGCCTCCGCTGTTATCAGAGACGACGATGGTTCCCGAGCAAGCGATGAAACTTCCACGCATTAGTCGGCATTTTGGTTCACGTGTAAAGTCTGAAAAGCCAGTAAACCTCCTGAGATTCTCGTAGTAAATGATGCACTCAATGTCTTTGCCTGTGTACAGCGTTAGACTAATGAGTGTGAGGAAGATGGGGCTCAGGTGCAACGTAGATGGGGTGGAAAAGAGGCCAGAGAGAGTTCAGCTGAATAAAAGTGACTAACTCAAAAATTGTGTTAGTTATTTTTGTCTTGAGCCAGAAAGGAAAGGTGTATTTCCTCTTCTGCCAGTCAGGAAACAGCAACGAGACAGGTGGTGGCAGAGGGAAAGAAATGCTGAACAAATATAATGAGATGTCCGTGGGAAGGACATCAGACAGAGCTGCCAAGGGTGAGGGCTGGATGCTGACAGATGTGATGACTGAGAGTGTGTCACGGATTGATGTCCACGTCAGAGACAGGGCAGGACAAGCCCGGAACATGTGTAGCTGGGCACAGGACACATTTGTCACGATGTGGATCTGTGCCAGGATAAATATAGCCCAGTGTGCTTTTAGACTGGCATATTTTATGTTTAACTTTCACCTATAAGACCCCATGGTGAGCACAGATAGATGAGTAAACCCATCTGCCAGATGTCGGGGTTTTAAACTGTGGAATCAAGAAAGAGAGGACCATGCGTTGCACAGCTCTGCGGATGCATTTAAGTAAGTATTATACAGTGGTTTGCAAAAGTATTCATACCCCTTGAACTTTTCCATATTTTGTCACATTACAACCACAAACATAAATATATTTC